GGATATCCTTTGAAATGAACTTGATTTGCCACAAGTTATGTGAAGGCATTTCTCAACTATTATATCTATATTTGCTTATTCGGTACTGTATTTAAATTCTATTTAAATTACTTTCAACATAGCACTTTGTTAAACTTATCACTTAAATAAAACCCTAAGTAGCAGATGAACCAATTCTGAAAATTTGACCTCAAATACAATACAAGCAAAGAGACTTTATGTTCTGGGATACATTGAACTTGTACTTTTACGAATATCACAGTTGTCCCTTTCTGCTCTGAGGAAGAATAACATCCAGCATCTGGTGCAGAAGAGACTTTCCTGATGGCTGATCTGAGCCACAGCTCTTGTAAACACTCCAGGATCCTAATCCTGAGTAAGTCTCACCCCTGTCAATTAATGTTCACGTGAGCAGGAGGTTTCAATTCTCATTTTTCATGATTTTATTAACAGAGCAACTGTCAGAGTAGAAGTGTATTAGTCATTCAATGGGGAAGTGGAAAATAATGAGACACTTACGGCTGGTGCATTGTTTTGAATCTGCTCAGCTCATATTCTGTTGCATTCTGAAAAGAGAGAAAACAAGTTTTATTGTTTAAATGAAGATCATTTTAATCAAGAGCAATTCAAGAAATGAAGTACATGATATTTTAAAAAGTGAATGAAGGCAAGACCTGAAAAAACAGTTTTTAGTTTTGTAGGTACATGCTTATCTCACCTTGGTTAATGCTTAACTTTTTGTTATTAGCCTGTTGTAATGTTTCTAGAAAGCTGGTGGCACACTTACATTGCTAAACTGGAATTTTACCAGGCTTGTGGCAGATTAAATTACTCTGGTTAATGAATCATTCAAGAAGTGATAAGGAAGCCATTTAACATGGTCTCTTCACCACAGAATTTCTTTGTATTTTTTCACTCAAATCAGCAGATTAGTATAACAATGGCTGAGTGGGAGATACTTTAACAATGGCTGGTATGTTATTAACCTCATGTTTGCTTTGTTCTTGTTCTAAAGATCTGTGTGACTTCTCAACCTATGAAAAGCTAGTGATGAAAAATAAATAGCATTTGTAGTGTGCTACCTTGGTACATAAAGTGCCCATTCTAGTGCTGAACAAGCTAATGCAGGTACTGGAAAGAGTTTCCCCAAATGATTTCAATAGTTTGTGTATCTCTATATACCTTTCACCTCAATGTGAACAAGGAGTTCATGCAGTACTTTTGATGTTCAAGCTAGTGCACAGATTGCAGGCAAACTTCCTAAGTCAGAGTTTTAAGTTAGTCTAAATAAAACCTTTTTTTTTTTATCTATGGGTTTTTCTTTAGTAAAAAATTTCCAGCACAGTCTCTGGACTGTACTAAGACCAAGTGTAGGACTGCATGTTTTCAGTCCAGAAACTTTCTAATGCTAAAATGCCTTTTCAGCATAGCATTCAGCAGAGAATAGGTCAGGCTGAAAACATGTCCATTTAGTAGATGCAACTCCAGCCCTCCATCTATTTTTGTGTTGGGAAGAGCAAAGTAATTTATGTATTTCCTGACATTTCCTATCATTTCATATCTGTAGTGGATGTGGAATCTCTGAAATAGATACTGTCCAGTGAACACAGTGATATTGAGTTCACTGTGGTATGACTGATGTTTGCCCAGATCTGTTTTTTCTGAATAATATCCCAGTCCATCAGTCCCAAACCAAACTATTTTGCCTTTTCTCACCATCTCATCAGCATGATAGATGGGTTTGTATCAGGCATACAAATGGAGACACTAATAAGTGTATGAGAGAAAATAAAGTGGAGGATATACACATTCTCAGAGAAAACATATTTCCTCAGTCTATATTTCAGTCCCAGTGAATGTCAGCATTTCTTTGGCATAGTTGTTGTGAAAATATGCCATTTCAGACAGTAGAGAAGCCCCTACATTTAATATTTAGCCTGTAATTATACCGTAACAAAAAGCAGCTGCATATCTACATGCAGTGGGTATGGTAATTAGCAGATGATCCAGCAGATCTAGAAATCACCAAATTCCTGAGGAAATTTAAGACTGTATTGAATGGTGTGATTGCCATACAGCCCATCTGGGCTCCTTTGGCTTCATCAGCTGTAGTGGTGACTCACCAAATTGCCTCTGCATATCAATGACCAGCAGGAGTAGGGCCATTTCCTCGCCTCCTCTTGCACTTTTTAAGCAGAGGAGGAGGAGGCAGCTATGCTTTTTGTTGTGAGGTTAGATTCTTGTTCACTCCCTTTTCTTTGCAAAATAGAGTATTTAACCCTTTACTTGTTTGTATCAAGATTGCCGGGGTGTAATGGCCTGGTGATTTCAGAGCACCCTTCCAGGATGCTGTTTGATGCAATGTGCTGCCTAAGCACAGTTGCTGTTCCACACAGGCAAGTGCTGTGTGTGTGATCAGATCAGGCACTATTTAAACTTGCAGTGGAGCTCGGTAGAGAAGGAAGCTATGGATCTAAGCAATTCCTTTATTGGGGAATGTATTATTGAGAGTTTTAACCTATTTCTCCTCCCCAGGACAATCTTCAATGAGGGGATCAAGCTATGTCTCACTGAGCTTTGAGATGATTGCTCTCTATGGGTCCAGCTGAAAGTTAATTTTTTTCTTTCTTCAGTAAAGTGCACAATTGATTAAAACGAAGAGCTGCTGCTGCTCTTTAGCAGCAGAATTCTGGTCCTAGGAAAGAGTGGAAAAATATCTTGCAAACTCAGCACTTTTGAAATTACATGGTACCTTCTGTAGGAAGATGACTAATGCTTCCAGATTTTAATTAACCATTGCTTCTATTGTTGGTTATGATATACATTGTTAGTGATTCATATTGTCATGGATGGAATAAGTTGCAAGTATGTGTGATAAAGAAGAAGTTAAAGTAGTTTCTTTCCTGGAGGGATTTGAGTTGCCAAATATATACTGAAGAAATAAAGGGACAGGTTGTTCTTAAGGGGTTTTTTTTTGGCATTTGGTTGGTTGGTTTTTTGTGTGTGTTTGATTTATTGTTTTGTATGTTTATTTTGGTTTTTATGTGTACAGTTTTATATTAGAGCACAATTTAGAAAGCATATAGAAAAATCTTTTCTCTTCTAGCCTGCTGTTGATTTCCTCATTTCTATTGGCTGCTTCATTGGCTTACTAACTCACTCAGTTCAGTAGCTCAGAGTAACCAAAATACCTAGCTTGCAGAGCAAGCTGACCAGCTTTGTTCTGCAGATAGCATCCTGGAGTGAGAGAAATGCTGTAGTAGTGCAAGTGTTTGAGGTGTGTCTTTGCTCCTTTACTTGCAGGAGCATGTCTTGGACCTGAGCCCATCCTGCTGTAGCTGCCTGCCACCGTGGGTGCTGACAAGGGAGATGCCTTGCATCAAAAGCAGAGAGCAGGTATGATCTGGAGAGTCTGGAGCTGAGGGTGCACAAGTGGGTTTTGTGAATTTTCATCTGGAGAGCTTTAGACTGGCTCATACCCATGGACTGAGCAGTTTGGCATTTCTGAAGTGCTCTGCTTCTGTGGAGGGAGCAGTGTGGGGTTTGGGTGGCTCACGTGCCATGGCTGGGTAGGATTTAGGGCATTTTGCAGTCCTGGGGATCCCTGGTAGGTGTAAAATGGATAGTGAGTGTGTGGAAGGAAGGCAAAGGGAATGGGGTAAAATGTTGCAGCAAAATATGTAGCATATATGACATCCTTGTCTGCCCCAGACATGGCACTTCTCTAAGGAAGTCACAAACACTGCTGTCAGCAGCCATGGGACTGGATGTGTTTTGGATTCCATGTTTGCCTTAGATGTTTTTTGCCATGCTTTTGTGGTTGCTGAGATTGTGCAAAGGGATGGTTTCAATGGAGTTGCTGCCTAAAAAAAGGTTTTGGATGTCTTTGGAGAAGGTTGTTGATAGAGTTAATTGCATGGTTTTCAACTTTGTTTTGAAGTTCACTGAAGCACATCTTTCCCCTTCCTTGCTTTCCATCCCTTTCTGGTAGGCAAACACATATATGAGATGGTTATGGCTGCAGGTGCAAAGAATACCTTGAACAACCAGGAGAGCTGTGAAGGATCAGTAGGAGCTTGAAAATGTCAGATTTTGATGTGAATGAGGGTGAGGGGTTCCTTTGACATTATGATAAACAAACGTAGTGTGTTGCTAGCCAAAATGTCAATATCTGGGCAGTATAGCTTCATGTAAGGTGACAGTCTTGTCATTACTTTATAAAAATTCGGAGCTACATTCTGTAACTTTGCCAGCTCTGAGCATGGACAGCTTTGGAGAGTTGTTGCTTTTTGTGGAGTATACATATATTTACTGTAATAATGTATAATGAATTTGACTTCATCCCAATTTTCTTCAGTGATTTTTCTTCGGGGGATGAGGTAAAGACAGATTTACTTGACAAAAAGCAATTCCATTTTGTGATAAAGTAAATGCATAATATAGAAGTTCTGTATTCAATATGACCAAGTTTACACTAAGACTAGCTAATGAAAATTGTTCTTAAGAAAAACACCTGTAAAGAGCCATTTTAGAAGATTAGGAAGAATGTACAGCTACATTTTTGACTCTTGAGTGACAGAGACTTGAAGTATAAATAAAAACTATCTGCATTTAGGAAGTTAGTATTCAATATAAGTAAAAATCTGAAAAATCATAAAATTGTAATAAGTCATATCAATGATATCCCTTACTAACTGGCATGGCAGCCTATCTGTAAATACTTTGAAATTTCTTAGTCAAAAAATGTAATGGCATTTCTTAGTAGACATGTCCTTATGGGATATAGAAAAATCTCTGGGGAATAAAAGTAAGATTTCAGTGCTGGCCTCTAGAGACACAACCTGAGATATAGAGTTTTGTCAGCGATATCTGGCAAAAACTGCCAGTGTCTCACACTGAGTAAATAATGGAATAAATGCATAATGGATTTTTTTTTATTTAATAAAGGAGAGCTATGCCCTGAGGGGATGGGGAAGAAGTGGAGAGAAGATAAATAAAACGTGAGATACTTCCAATTAAAGGTCAGTTCAGAAAGAATGAGAATTGTAATAAGAAAAGAGAGCTGTTTCTATTGTGAATGGAGAATTACTATTTTTAAGGGAATTGGTCATTTTTAAGTGTGTAAAACTGACATCTAGTGGTAGCTATAGCACTTTGTGTGCACACTGGCTTTACAGTGAGACCAGTTTGTAGAGCAGATTAACAGATTGTAACTGTGTTGCATACTAAAATTGCAGTTCTCTGTACTGTAGCTGGATGTTATAGAGCATTTCAAACTAAATGTTACTTCTTTTAGTAATACCTCACTTATATAATGTCAAGTTGTGTGTCATCTTTCTGTATGTGTGGCCTCATGCTAGAGAAGTGAAGAATGGTTTCATTAGAGGAGAAAAGGTTGAAAGGGGAATGAGGGTTAAAAAAGGTAAGGCTAAGAGCTACAGAACTTCAGGGTCAATTGGGAAACTGGCAGATACCAATCTTACACCTCCTGTGAATGAACAGGAGAAGTCCAGCCTCAGAGCTTGGTGTGTTTCTCAGGTGTGGCGTTACTCATGCGTGTAAACTCCTTTGGGAAAGGAAGCAGGAATTTACGGCAAAACTGAGATCTCACATGAATTCAGGCAAGATATGTGGGCTCTGAATCGATAAAGCTTATAGGCATGTACCTAAATAATTCCCATTTTCATTTGCTGAATCATGGTTAATATATTAATTTCTGATTCACATTTTTGTTCAAAGCACATTTAAAAATATTTTTATTTTCTCTTTTGTCTAGCTTATGTTTTAGTGTCTTTGAAGAAAAAAAATCTCTTGGTAAAACTCTGCATGCCTGCCCCACTGGGACTTTAATTTATCTTTGCCTCCAGTGCCATTATATACATAATGTATAAATTACTAGTAACAAGCAAAGATATGCAAAAATGAAGTATCAATTATTTTAAAAATTGTTTTTTAAAACATGGCTTAGGGCACCATACCTACAGTCAAATGGTGCAATTTAAAATGAACATGGAAAAATATAAAAGCATAATTCAAATCTGTCTTCCACATTATAAAATGAAAGAGATCAGCATTAGAAGACTGGGTGAAGACAAAGGCAAATCTGAAGGAAGAAGGAAGTGTGCTTCAGTGAAAGTGTAATTAGAAGTGGGGGGGAAAAAAACATAGATTATTTTTTCTGGGTTAGCAGTTTGTAGCAAGAATTGTCAAATTGTATTGATCTATTTCTGGTTGTGTTTATTTTACAATTTTCTTATTTCATAATAACTGTTGCAAATATTTCAGAGATAAAAAATGTTGGTAGCATAATTCTAATTCAATGTGTGTTTGTGCAGTTGTGCAGTTTTGAGGCTGGGGTGAATCATATGCTGCCTCTACATTCCATTTCTGTTACTTTCAAAACATGGTGAATCATATTTGTTGAACACCAATGTTGACATTCTGCAATGAGACTTGAGTCACAGTTATAGAAGTGGTATAAGAAACAGCAGCTGTCATTTCAGATAGGCGAGCCTGTTGCTTTAGTCGAAAGCAGAGCTGAGCAGCAATCCTGTTTGCTGCAGAGCTCCTCTCTAAGGACAAGATTGGTTGTTAACACTTGTGCCAGCCAGAGCTGGGAGATGCAATCTTGTCTGTCCTGAACCTGGTAATCCACTGCAGGTGCTTAACAGCTCTAATAAGCTTTTGACCTTTTGGGTCTGAGTGGGAGCTGTTACAGTGACATGAAGCCAATTGCTATGAGCAATGTCACTCTGACTTTGTCTGCACTCCCTGGGGCTTCTTCTTACCTCTTGGACACTGATGCCCTTCCACATTTGTGAAGCATGCTAGTAGCACCAGAATTGTTAATATACATGAGATCTCTAAGATTTCAGAGCAGCTGCCTCTGTGTTTGGCTTGTATAAAACCTTGCATAGTACAAATGCATTTGTGTTGCTGGCAGTGGTGGCAGCAAGGGAATATATTCAGGACATACTTGTTGTAAATAGGACTGTTGGGGTTGGGTTTCTTGGTCTGCTGTGGATTTGTCATCCCTCATGGAATGCTGCTATTATTTTGTCCTCAGGCATGCTTTTAGTTAAAAAACTGCCAATCTAATATTGTGTTACTAAAAGCTGTGTTCAACATGTAATGGGAGTTTGAGATCTAGATGTTTCTCGTACTGGAATGAACAGTAGAGTACTCTACATTCTTTAGGGCAGCTGGAATTACTTTATTACATTGATGGAGAGCTGTCTGTAGTATTGCTGCTGTAACACTTCAAATTAAATCCAAGGGGTTTTTGGAATTACTTGGCGAAGTGTAATATGCATTGAGCTGTGTGGTTCTGAGGATTCTGTACTGCCTCACCTACCACATATTTTCAGCTATTGAGATGGTAGAAACTTGTTTTTTGCTCAGTTGAAAGATATTTTCTTTCAATAATAGCTCAGTGAACCTCTGTGGTTTGCATTGTTCTGATACTGTTGTTCTGGTACTATTGCAATAGTACCACCTCACATTCAGAGCTCAGTGAAACCTTAAACTAGCTGACCCTTTGTTCTTATATGTGCTATGAGTGGGTTCACCTATGATTTATATGTTTATGACCTAGGGTTTCTAGCCTATTGTATACTGTAAGCTGTTTGCTCAGACTTGACTCTCCAAGGCTTTTTGAACCTGTTTTACTCAATCTCATGTGTGGAATGAATGGTCTTCTTCTTGAAAACTGGCTGCAGAAATAGCCTTGTTCTAAGACAGACAGTAAGGTGTGGTTTGCAATATAAATCTGTTTATATGGTGCATACAATGGGAAAGGTAATGTTGTTTTTCCTAGAACATGATGTCCCCATTAGTCTAGGCTGACCTGATGGAAAGATGAGAGGTTTCCAATGTTCTTTCAAAAAATCATACTATCTTCCTCACGGTGTAATGTTCTGTGGGCCAGGCTCTGTCTGTATTTGTGTGTCCTTATTGAAAGGACATTTACTGGAACACAGGAAGTAAAACCACTTCCCAAATCTTTGCAGCAATGCACCAATATATGCTTAAGCAAATTAAGTTTTAGTGTTTGAAAGAGGAAGGAAGTTACCACATATAGAAGTAACTGTGACCACCAGAAATTTAGCCTCAGCAAAAGAGCAGCAGAGCTTCTGTTGACGTAGGCTGCAAGATCAGGAAGTCTGATTTCTTTTTATGAAAAAGAGAATTCAAAAGGGCCAGCTGAAATTCTTCTAGTAGAACCATTTATGTCTAAAAATGCTTCATCAATTAAAACAAGTTATTTTTCAGGGTTTCTTTTACTTCATTGATGATTAAGACTCTTTAAAAATGGTAAAGTTGAATCAATTAATTTCCATATTTTTTAATATAAGGTAAAAGACCCAATTGAGACATGTAAACATTACTGACTTAGTGGTTCCAAAGCACTTTAGTTTTACTTTTATGGGAAATTTGCAACTATTCCTTCTGAATCAGAGCAAAGGGAAATATTAAAGTGTCAAAAGTTCCATTTTTGTCCACATCTAAGAATTAAGGCCTGTAAAATATTTCTAGTCTGTAGTCAAAATGCCTGTCACCTGAGAACAGGACATGCTGCAGGAATGTCCTTAGTATGGGGAGTCCTGCTAGAAGCAGACAGACTTGATGTTTTAAGAACTGACTTTTCTTCAGGACTCAGCCCAAGGTGAGTGCAGTAAGCTGCTGACCCAGTTTAATGGTGACACACAGCAGAATTGACACTGTGGCTTCTGTTAATAACCTTGCCTTTGTCAGGGCTGAACCAGGTCTGAGGCCAGCTGCTACTTCCAACTCCCTGAGTGCTGTTCCAGTACCTGCATGCAGGTGATTTGAGTCAAGTGGTGCCCTTCTGTGTCTGGCTTATGCTGTGAAAACACTGTCCCTTGGCTGTGTGATTATGCAGTTTCTTTCTAGTTCATCTTTCCTATTGAAACAATCTGGTTTTGCTGTTCGGACCTTCCTTAAGTGAGCAGACATCTCTGCAGGTATGAAAAAGTCCCTTTAGTTAATCTAATTTGCTTACTGAGGGAATGGAAGGAGGCAAGAACTAAAGTGGTTGTGGTGATGGTGTTTTCAGTATTTGAATATTGAGTTAGTAGGAAGAGTAATGTCTGTACACAAAATCTGAGGCTGAGTCGGTGCAAGATGCTCTGCGCATTGCATTGAAATACAAAAGTTAGTTTTCTGGGTGCTGTTTCCATCCTGCTCTCATGAGAGTCACTGAAAATGACAACAGGAAATAGCCTGTCAGGAATCAATTCTCAGGTCACTGGTAACTCAGACTGGCAAGGACTCTTTCTTGGGGAAAGTTAAGTCATAATCTTAGTTTAACTGCTGCTATGCAAGCCAAATAAGAAGTACTGTGCTCCCCAGGTGTGTCAGGCTGTTGGGAGTGGCCCAGGAGCAGTGGGATCAATCTTGGAGAATCCCAAAAAATTGGGTGACATTGGACCTTCTGCTCTCCCCTGCTGACCTGGGGCCTGGGAACTGTGCAGATGTGCACCCTGCTGACACTGCCTGCAGAATCAGTTCCCTTCTGCTTTCCTGCATCTAGACAACAAGAAGTGCTGGGAAACAGCTGAGACCAAAAAAGCTGTAGAGAAGGAGTAGGAGAATCATCCTACCTCTCAGAGCAAATACTATGGCAGAAGCTGTCAGCAACAGTTAAGGTATAACAGCAGTCTTAAAAGCAAAACCTATATATTCTTGAAAGACTAAGAAAGAACATCTGCGTAATTATAAGCACATTACATTTCATCAAGGCAACTAGAAGTAGCAAATCTTAATTACAAGAATAAATACTCTTACTGAATCAGGAAACCAAATGTGGCTTAGTACATGACTGTCTACCCAAAACACTTTGATGGCTGGCTGTCTTCTCTTTGGAAATAAACCACCTCATAAGCTCCTTGAGAATCTACATTAAAGAAAGAATTTCAAATGCCCACACAGAAATGTGCTGAACTACTTGACTTTGAAAGTACTCCCTAGATAGTGGAATAGATTTGCTGTACCTCCTTTG